AAATCAAAGCTGAGAAAAAAGACACAAAATTAGGAGCAATTAATTCTTAAATTTTAAATTTTGCTCAAATCAATCTAACAATCAACTTAAGTATTTTGCATGTCATAAAATTGATAACTTGCTTCGATTTGTTAACTGATAAAATCATTTTGAAATTATTCCGTCCTGATTTGGATCAAAGCTTTATACATATTCCCTTTTGAAAACCAACACTAATGTGTGCTACCGTATTCCCAGAATTACCACATACAATCGTGATCGGGTGCATTCAAGTAGACATAATTTGAAAAACAAAGAACATGTGAAAAAATAAGGAAAAATTCACAAATTATACTCATTAACTTTTGTCGCCGACTCACCGAACACAAATATTGTCTACACGAGCATAACACGAGGAAGTGCTATGTACGCTCGTGCTGGAGCTTATCTCTAAGATTGTAGAGGTTGTGGGATGGGATCTGGCACGCTTAGCACCATTTTTTCTAATCACACTTGGTATGAGTAGTGGCAGTGATAGGAAAGATTTTGTGGAACGTGAAAACTTTGCTTGAACCTGTGAAAAATATTAGGTTGGTCCGAAAGTTCTGTCGCACCATCAAAAAAATCGTGCTTTTTCCTTCACAATCATCACGTTGTCAGTTTCTAAATTTTTTTTTGAAGAAAACAAAAAATCCACAAAAGTTATGTTGCGACCTAATAGTTTGCCATGTCATATGGTTTATTACAGGTCCGCTAATTATATTGAGTATAATGGGAAATACTGGCGTTGAAAAGCATTAAAGCGTGAACTACCTCCTCTAAAAGGCTGAAAATGTGAAGTTTTACTGCTAAAGAGATGTAGAGATGTAGTATACAATTGTTAGTGCTAGAACATCTCAGCACTAATTTGGCAGAAGCAAGAAAAACTTTGTTTTCTCATCGTCTAGCTGAGGAAAAAACAGCAACTGCATAAATGAATGTCTCACATAAAACGTCTACGCGTGAGCAAGCAAGAACTTTGTAGAAGTTTTTTGGACGCTACAAGTTACAATTTTGTATTGATTTGCCTTGGGGTTTTCGGGAGCATGGTTTCTTTCAATTTTCTGCTCAAAACTTTGTGTGGGTCAAAGCTGGTAAAGATGTTTGAGCACTATTTTGTAGAGCTAGGTTTACTCTATCTAACGATATATCAAACCCTACTTAGGATGTAGGAGAATTCCGAATATTGCAGTCTGTACCTATTTTGGTGCAGGAATTATGCATCAACCTTATAGATAGCAGCCAAGATGCCCTTAGAAAGCGCATAATTTGCTCTTTTCAATAAAATTTTACTCATAAATAAATCTTCGTGACAGAAAGAAGCTACGATTTTTTGAAAATGGTGCGACAGAACTTTCGGTTCGACCTAATATCAAGGCAAACTGTGATATAATTTGTTTTACCAAGTTTGAAATGAGCCAGAGATGTCTGTTATTATATCATTTATTACATTATTGTTATCACATTATCCATCACTGCTTCTCTCAAACGCACTACATCTATGCGATGTAATAATGTAAAAAATAAATATTACGTATGCATTCCATCAATGCTAGTCTCGGTTGAAGGCATTATGCGAACAAAGGTTCCAAACAAAATGTTATGTTCTTAAATCATTGTCCTATTTAGGAACAGCTTCGATTTATCAGTGTTGGCTTTACACATGAAGTAAGCGAGGAAGTAAACAAGATCTTAACATCATAAGATTCTGCAGCAATGGTTTTTTGATTTCTAGCAAATCTTTTTCGCTTCATTCATATATAGCAGACGTATCCTTCTAGTCACCTCGGTGCGATGTGTCTTACTGCACACAATTTTGAAATCCCGGATAAGGTGCTGGGCTCCCGCCGTGCCGTACTTGCACCAGGTGCGCGTACGGCTAACTCGACACCAAACCGCTCGTATTTCTTATTTTGATGTTATTTTTTTGTTTTTAGCTGCAGCACGGTCTAGTTTTCAATGATTTGTTACCTTTATACCCTTGCATTTCAAATCTTCAGAATTTATCACTTTTGCTTTCAGGTAAGGGAGGCACATGGGCAATCTTGCAGGATTGTGAAGTAAGTGTGCTTTTCAGTATTGTCCATGTAGAAAGAAGTTCCAACTTCCTTTTAATTGGTATAATTCTGGTTTTTATGCCGTGTTTCTATTGAGAAGCTTTTTCTGAATTGATAGTAGGATTTTTGAATTGATAGTAAGACTAACTGTGGGAACTATGGAGGAAAGGCTAAAAAGTTCGGAATACTTATGTTCGGAACCTTCTTCCATTCTACAGATCAGATTGTTTGATATGTATCCTTGGGTTTCTAAGGCAGAGAAACAGCCGCTAAATAATTTGCAAAAATGCAAGAATGTTTGGAACATAAGTATTCCGAACATAATACTACTTCCTCTATAATTTCTGCAGCTATCCACTCGGCAATCTTTCCACAACTGACATTTCTCGGCCCTATTAGTTTAAGCGGTCCGTGGTCATCCTGGGGAAACCATCACTCGTAAATTTTCCCAGAAGATCATTGAGCAGCTAGGAACAAGGATTTGGTATTAGTGTCCCAAATCCAGCGCAATGATATGCATCACGTGTGGGCACCCAGTTCGACCAAGGGTCTTCCCTTGTTAGAAAATTATACTATATGTAACCTGGTATAAAATGTGCACATTTGTATTGGGTAGTTTTTTATTGGGTGGTTTTTCTAATTTATTTGATATCCGCTTATTCGAAATTTTTCATTTACGAATTTATTCGATATTCATTTATTCGATGAAAAAATTCGAGTTTCCCCAAATGTAACTACTAGCATATGCAAGGGTACGGCTTTGATGGAAAATCAACTAACGACTGTGTACCGATCCAGCGAGGAATAGTATTTTTTGGGAAGGCGATATCAGAGCGTTAGAGGGTTAGAGCTTTATGAGTCTATGTTATTATCTCTACAACACTACAGCTGAAACCCAAGTCCGCTCTTGGATCTTAAAAAACACTTTTCCCTTCAGCAAATGGCGTATTCTAGCCTTCTTTCACAGTTGTGTGGTTATTGAACAAAGTTAAAAAGTTTGAAAGACTCTTAACGTTGTTGAGTGAGAGCAGGTACACAAAGGGCAAGCGTAGGTACATGAATTATAAGTAGCCCTTATATATAATAAGGCAGAAACTAAACGATGTCAAAACTGGAATGGTTTCCTGGCTGCGGTAGTGTGTCTAAGGAAGAACATTAGCAATTTTTAGCCGAAAAAACTCACTATGGCGACTCTTATATTCAAGACACATTCGCTCCGACATATCTTACAAAACACGTTATCTTTTGCCACGGTACTAGCTACATTTCATCTCACAAGAAGTGTGCCACTTTCTGACGCTTTCCTTTCAAAAATAGAATGCAAGCTTTTCCATAGCACATTTGTTGTAAGGGAAAATTCCAGGCGAATGGGCTCCGTAAAATAAATTTGTTTTCGCCGCTTCCGGTTTCTGCTATTCTCCTCTTAATCGCGCCAGCTGCATATGTTTCGTTGGAGCGCCTTTTCTTCATTCAGCGAAGCGACGTCGTTGCCATTTTGGCCCCTAACAATGGAAAGGAGGAATTTTGAAACCAAATGTTGCTATAGAGTAAAAATCAGGTGCAAAACGGATTCCCAAAAGTAGCATCACTTGGTCATATGCCCGCCTGATGTGTAAAAAAGCTATACGCAGCTTCCACCCAAATTTGGAGATGAGATCTCATGTGGATTTAGTGATTTTGAAACAATCTTTCTGCAGCTGCTCTAACAAAGACTATAGTGCATTGTGAACTAATGAAACAACGAATTCTTCCAATCCAAACAAATTCAACTACTGACAAAAAAGAAGGAAGAAGCTAAAGCTGTTGAAGATGTCGGAACATTATTTGCGGTCAGCACCGCAATCTTTACTAGCGGCACTTTAGATTACTCAGTTTATTGCGCCTCTGCTCATGAAAACACTGTTTATGTTTTATTTGGCTACCAGAACTTTCATTATCAGCTGCAAATGCAGCTTTTTGTCTGCTTTCGACGGTTATGTTCCCGCATGATTTTTCGGGTGTTTTCGGATCTGTCAAAATTCCTCTCATGTCACTTTTATCTGCTGTTGTGAATTTGCAAGTTTTTTTGAATTTAGGGTGAATTTAGGGGCTTTGAGTGCGACAGCTTGAAATTTTTTCAAACTGTCGCACTCAAAGCCTATGGTTTTTTTTTCAAAATAGACTTATATAGTTGATGGAAAATTTTGAGCTGATCTAGTAATTTTGGGTAACCAGAACGTAGCAGAAAGCTTCCACAAGCTGACTAATGGCTTTTTGTCTAAATTGTTAAAATGGAACGTTTTCAAGAATAAAGGAAAATTACAATACCACCCACATAATCTCCAAAATTTCCGTGAATCTCGCGAAATTCCGAAAATTCTGCGAAATTCCCGGAATTTTGTTTATGTGGGTGGTTTTGTAGGTGTTTGAATTCTATGACTTTATTGGCACTTTTCAAAACATGTTGTGTGTGACCGTTGCGAAAAGCAAGTGGACACAGTGGCATCCCACTTTGGTGTACTTTTGTGAAACCTTTGCTCATGAATGTCCACAGAAAACTATGCGAAATTGCTAGCGGTCATTACTGCGATGTCATGTGCACGACTATCAATGACAGATCAAAATCAAGGAAAAAATGACACAACCCCTCTTTCCCCTTGAACAAAATTTTTCCATACAAACAGAAAATAATTTTTTCAATTTGTGTGCATTCAAAAACAGCGACTTCAATAGCGATGCCGATTTAAGTGAAGCTGTAGGATGCATAACATTAAGTGTATTTTTCTCAAAAGGCTCTAATGAGCAGTACGGTTGTCTATCATTATTTGGATCATCATATAATACTGTGCCTAGCGACCAGTACCACTTTTTCAACTTTATTGATACACTAGTCTAGCACGAAGAGTATCGTCGTCTTCAGCACAATGTTCTGTTCCATATCTCTCATTAACGACACGGTGCAGAAGCGTTCTTCGAGTTAATAGTTATACTCTGACTAATACTTGTTGTGATTGCAGTGAAATGCGTGGTAGAGGGTATACTTACTGATTTGTTCTCGATTCTCCCTTTTTGAATGGGTTGAGAGTACGCCGCAAAGATGCCACAATCCAGAATGTTATTACTACATCAGTTAATGGAATCCACAAAAAGGTTGTGAAGTAGAACACTCGCATCAATGGGTGATTCTAAAATAGCAAATATCTTCCTGTTGACTTTCCACCGTAAATAAAAGAGTGATTGCTAGTTAGGGGTAAACAGCATTAGCTTACATGTTTTTGAAAACAATTAAGTTAAAACGCACACTTCCTATTTCGAGTTTCTGGGATGTCCTAGATATTATAGAAGCTAATATTGCTGACAGAAGACTTCCTCCATGAATCAGAATGCGCATTTCGTTGCGATTTCTACAACAGCTCAATGTAGTGGGCAATACGCTCGTAACTTTCAAAAAAATGTACACTCTTGTAGAGCTGCATTTTCTTACTGAGTTCTTCTTTGAAAAAAAAAGTAAAAAACAATTCTTGAGTTTTCTTTTTTTTTGATCTATATACTGCAAAATTCTTAAAGATCTGACAACAGCATTACAAAAACACAACGTCTAGATGTCTTCCCGATCACTTCGGTGTACCAGACTAATATAGTTACCAAAAGAATTGTCTTTAAAAAATATAATCGACCTTTCCTTTTTTTCTGAGCAAGATAAAATTCGTTCTTAGAATCATGTGTGATAAATCTTCAGCTATCCATGCATGATATGCCATCTTTGGAAATTGAGTGACTCACAAAGATCAAATCTTATTGATCTGAATCACTGGCTGCATCAAAGAAGCGAACTGCGTTGGAACAACTGTTACGTTTAGCGTTGCAGTTCCAGTTTTTGTAAGCTAAATTTCGAAAATTTCTTCAACACGTTGACGACGGGCCATTTTTTCAAGTCTGCCCTGTGTACGAAATATCTGCGCACTTTTACGCCTGGCTGTATGTATATATACACGCATTTATGAAATCTACGAATTCGCGCATATAACGGCACTTTTAAAAGTGGGCGGAGCTTGTCACTAAGGAGCGGAGCCTGTATGATCAGAACTGCTTGAGGCTCGAAAGTTATTTGCGACCCCTTCTATGCGTTTTGCGCACAAACACGTTCCTTGCACAAGGCAAATGGAGTGAGCGGAATTTGCCAAAAGGGAGTAAGGTCAAGATGAAAACTCTTGAGCCTAAGTTGATTATATGGACACAAATTAGAACTATTAGGCACATAAAATCAAAATTTAGTGTGCCGCACACCATTGCGAAGCGCCGTCCACAGGGACAGACTGCTTGCCGACCACCGCGCGACACTATGCCAACGTCTAAATCAACATGTGCAATCAGTTCTTAGCACTTAAACTTCTTGTAACGAAACTTGTTAGCACTACAAAGCTAGTGTAAGCTTTTTGGAAAGAGATCGTTAAGCAAATCTCGAACTTTGCAATGATACTCACAAGGAAAGCATGTTCAGTCGAAGTGGCTTTTCTAAATGAGACTCATACCACTTTGAAGAGCATTGCACGGTGGCTCCAAATCTGCCAAGCGCCTCTGGAAGCCGAGTGGACCGTTTTTTAGAACGAAAAATGAATGCAGAATTTAGGTAAAAACAATTGATACAAACTTTCCAACGCTTAGAAAAAGCAATGTTGAGTATTAGCGTATTAGACAAAATGTATCCATTGCATGAACTGTTCTGATACTCGACACAGGACCATTTAAGCAAATTTGGGCGAACTTGCCCCGGTTTTGTGTTTAATTTATTGGCCCGAAAAACGCCCATAACTCGGTGTCCAGAGATAATGAAGGCAGATTTGGAATCATTGTGCAATGCTCTTCAAAGCAGTATGGGTCCTTCCTGAAAAGGCCACTTCGACTATACACGCTTCCCTTGTCAGATTTGCATGGCTATGATTGTGAAATCACTGGAATTTTATCCAACTATCAGCATGAATTTTGTGAGCACACTTCTTTGAAGATAGTCTCAAAAACAGATTTTGTTAATAGGCGTTGGATTCTACTTGCTATGCTACTAAAGCAGCCTTTCTGACAGAATTACAACACTGCAGATTTGACGATAAGGATAAAAGGGCAGGTTATAAGTTAGAACACATGGCTGCGCTGATTGGCAATAAAAAGCTGAATATATTGTTACACGCCTTTACCCACATTCACTTCAGTAAACTGTGCCTTTTTTCTGCCCTCCAACTATTTTCATTTTAAAAAAAGAAAACGAAAAAGAGTGTCAAAATAAGCAGCACAACCGCGTGCTAAGAGGCACTGCTTCCTCTGTTGTTTGAGGATTAATCAAAAAAATTAAAAGACAAGAAATAAGTAAATAAACTCGTGTCTCTTTTGTAACATCGCAATCTTGATTAGGTCAAATTCCGAAAACAAAAACAAACAAACATAAACGCACGCCTTCTTTCGCATCAGACAGAACATAGAAACATAAGCGAGAGTCGAAAGTACAAGTGCCACATAGCGGTAGGTGTAACCGGAGATATAGAAAACCTAAAATACTTACTCTTGTTCTTTTTTTTTTGATTTTATGGCAGTACCAACCTTTTCACAGGTTGGATTCAAAGCACTTAGAAACAGTGGCCTTTCGCCTTTCCACACGTATGCATTATCACAGATGCAATAAAGAGGTATTGCCGTCACTGTAGGGAATAATGTTTGTAGTATAAATATTTTCCATGTATTCATTTGCTCAGCAGTCTACAACTGATACTGATACGTTACCCGATGAATGCAAGCAATTATTCAAGTTCTCAATCATGTGATATGAGGTTTATGCAAAACTTTGAACCCTTGATGTATGTTATAGGTCATTCGAAAGTTTTTTTGATTTTTGTGTCCTTGACGTTGCCAAATGGTGGGAGACGGTCAAAAGGCTGATAGAAGTTGCCGTGTATAGAGTTCCAAAAGAAGTTTTTTTATTTTTGAAACTGCCACCAGTGCAAAAATCACTTTACAAGGAAGCTTACATGGCTATAAAGTCGACGTGAAAACTCGAGTCGTACACATTTGCATTCTTGAAGCTCAAATTTAGACGTAAGGTACTTGAAAGAGCAACCATTGTTCGCGTGATCTTTCTTGAAATGCATTTTCCTTATGGAAGATTAGGTTGAAACCCCCTACCCCAGATTTGGTGAGATGAGGGCTAAAGTTTTGCACTATCCTGGAAGGAACTTTTAAGCATAGACGAGCAGCTTAGAGTGACTTCTGAAACAGATCGCAATTGTAGATATAGCCTTATCAGAAACCAAAACTTCGCAAAAGTTGCAATGCAGAAAACTTGTAAGGTACTAGCAGTACTAGCAGTTAAGAGTTGCAGAAAACTCCAAATGAACAGAAAAGACGAGTGCATCGCGACCACCACCAAGCTCGCACCTTATTATTCCCTCGTGGTTTGCATAAGGTCAAGTCACGTTGGCGTATAAAAGTGAGGTTGAGGCACAGTTTGGCATAAGCTGATCTGTTTTCAGTTACCGCTTGTGCTACGTCTGAGGTGAGTAAGAAGGGTTTTTGATTCTGATTCTGCTGTCTAGACAAATCTTTTTTTACGAATTTGTTCCGTCTTTGTTTGACGTCTGACCGCGTAGTCACTTATGACTTCGACTTCCCAGGCTCCGAAAAAGGCGTTGCACGCCGAAACGTTGACGTCAGCCAATGAAGTATTGTTACCAATCTTGGTAGCAGCTCGAGAACTATAACACATCTTCAAGTGAAACTTTAATCTGCTTAGTATCCAACAAGTTTTTTGTACATAATTTTATAGGACAATCCTTTTGGCTCGAGCTGATGCCATGAGCAAAAAAACAAACTGATATTATACAAAGCGACTTTATTATGAGTCATTTGGGACGAGCATTCGAAGCATGGCTTGACATTGATAAAATCGGAAACTGAACAAATTTGCACATAGAGTTATGAGAGGTATTTCCTCGCTCACGATAACGTCAGACCTTATGTAAGGAAGGTGGTTCTTAGAAAAGTGTTGACTGCGCACCAAGGTTTCTAAGTCAAAAACGCCTTAAGCTTTGTTGATTCATCCAAAATCACTTCATAAGTAAAAAGCACAGAAATACTATAGTTGCATTGTCAGAGACAAAGTCATAGAAAAAGCTGAATTTAGAAGAAGTTGTGTTCGCCTTGATTTGAGATGCGAAAAGGATCGCATGATCTAATCGCTGGGAAATTATGAGAGATGTTCAAAATACGTGACGATATCTTACAATGGGGCCGACATGTGACAGCAGTGCGAGGTACCGATGAAACAAATATGGTAAGTCTTGATTTAAAAAGAGACAAGCAAATGTGTATGGCTTTCGTTCAGCATGCTATGAACGCTTAGAAAAAATATAACATAGTTATACTTGACAGTTTCAGTCATGAATTAGATTTTTATAGGCGCGAAAGCAGCAGCCAGCAGTCGTTTCAACCCCTATTGCAACAAGAATCTGCTTGCATTTTTTCAGCGCTGCAGTAAACTTTGAATTTTTCGCATTCAACTTGCTAACGCGTTGTGATGCGAAGAAGCGAACAATGCAACAGAATAAGAAGTTTAGACCTTTTTGCAAGGAAAAAAACTGTAAACGCTGAAAGAATGAAGGACAGATGCATGAAAGTAAGAATTGACGTTATATTGCGACAACAAAAGCAAATTAAGGCAGACACTTGGGCGTATTTTTTGAAATTCAAGTCAATATGCAAAAATTTTTGATGTTTGATTCTGCACTTTGATTCAAAGTAAATCTAACTGCAACATGCAAGCATAGATAGACACACAGGCAGACATTGAGCATCGCTTGTACAGGGTGCGGAAAAAGTACTGTCCCTCAAAATAGAGGCAAAGAAATCGACGTAATTCCCAGGTTTTTCTGGTAAATTTAACATAAATCCTAAGATATGAGTGTATTCTAGTATTTCACAAAAACTGGTTCGAAAGTTCTGCAATTTCACTCGGCGACGGATCCTTTTTCGCAGCACATTTCCTACCAAATCTTGCGACTCCCTTCTACAAAGGTGAAAGAAGTGTGAAGATTTTGCAAATTTCTTTTGTTTCCATCATGGATATGAGAAATCTCCTGTTGTTTGAGGAATGTTATAGTGTCTACGAAATATGCTGGAAGTAGCCAGACCACAGCTGCAGTGGGAGAAAAGTTGGGAAATTTTCAAACGATATAGCGTCTGCGGCGCAACAGGGTACGAGCAGAAAGCGCGGCACAGGAAAGCATAATCTTTTATCAACTCAAAATCGTAATGTAGACAAACCTGATGCTTTTTTCATTATTCCTGTTACTTTTTGTTTGAATTTGGAACTTCAAACCGTAGTTTGGATCCAATTCCTTTAGCAAAAGCAGATCCGACTAGCTCTTTTCGTAAATTTTTGGAATTTGCTTGGAATATAATTTTCCTTGTTTAGTATTTTGGAGAGGAAATTATGCTTTACATACTGCCTTATTTTGAGATTGATATCACTTTTGGTGATATAGTTAGGGTCCAAAATTGCGCTCAAACGCTGCAGCGCATCGTCGATGGGCTGCTCGCTGTTATCACTCGTTCAAATAAACAGAAGGAAATCGTTTCAAATCAAACCTATCTTTGTCGAATCTACAGTGCCTGGCCCACATGCAGGAATCAAAAAACTATAAATTTTCTCCATTTCTGAGTTTTTATAGGAGCCAAACTGAGGGACAGTACTTTTTCCGCGCCCTAGATAGAAGATGATAACCAAGGCCGTCTAATATCAGACAAAGCGAGAAATCCCAAGTTAAACACCAAATGTTGTCAAAGTTGCTGAGTATGCGATATGCAATTCCCTACAATGAGGAAGTAGCCACCATTTGAAAGAGAGTATGGTCTAAGATAGCCGTTCTGGCGCCATTCTCATGAGATCTTTGACAAAACTGCGAATTTTTATAATATTCTACTCAAGTACTAAAGAAGGTTTTTGCTGATTTTTGGACGTCTAAATCCGGTAGCACCCGGTATTTTTTATGAGCCCGGATACATAACTTCAAGCAAGAAACCGGAAATGATCATATAAACTGAGATTTACTTTTAGTTTTGAGTATCTAATGTAAATCTGCGATTTTGTGAAGATTAAAATCATACTGTTACCCCTCATTTTCGCAAATTTCGTCCAGAGCTATTACGAGTGTACAGCTCTAAGCGTCCCGGTGGTCCTGTAATCGCGCAATTTGGCACTGCAAAAAACGGGTGTATCTTATTTATATTTATTGCGATTTTTATTGCCAGATGAACGCTTTAGCGCATTTTTTGTATTTGATGATGTTTTACGAGAAAAGCAAATTCAAAGATGTGTATGATTCCCGAAATGTTTGACATATTATTTTGGAATGGGTTCAAAACGTAAGTTTTGGAGGTCAAAAAACTCGTAAAATGCCACCGTTGTTGGTGACCTTTAGAGAAGTCGCGCCTTGACCGTCTCCCGCAAAAAAAATTGCTCAAAATTAGCTGTAGGGGATTTACAAGAATTACGTAGCATGAAAGTTGCATTGCTTGCAAAATTAGCGAAAGAGTAAAAAATGCGAATATGCATAACCGTAATCATCTCGCCATGATTTTTTACGCATTGGCTAGCTTACGAATTTGCATGGACGTTTATTTGACTCAAGCAAGCTCGTAGGGTTTTTTTGCAGATTGCAGGAGTGGTGACCTACAAACGCTGATAGCCGGGGAGAAGGTCACCTATTTTGACTGATAATCACGCTGCAGCCGATTGTTGATGTATTAATCTAAATGATGCAGTGGCTCGGCAAAACCGAACATCTCGAAATTTTGAAAGAAGGTTGCTTGTACCTCAATGAGAACAGAGCAGTTCCGATCACACGGCATGCTGCCCCTGCTTATTAAACTGCCCCTAAAACCCGTACGCTCAAGCCATTCTTAAACGCGCTGGACAAGCTTGCGATTCCATTTCTCAGCGTCAGAGGCGACATCTCGCAATGCTATAAATGTGAGGACATCGCAAAGACTCTACTAACGACTGCGGAAACTCGTCCAAATTTAAAATGGGGGGTCGAGGAAAATGCTAATTTTCGCCATTTTCGCCCTTCTGGGGGACTTTCGAGAACAGCGCGTCGAATTACCCCAAGTAAGCGAAAAAAATTAGGTCAAGAACCTGCCGTGCCACTGCATTTGAACACTTCTAACAGAAACTAATTAACAAGGTTTGGCGAGTTGGCAGCTGGATGTTCTAGAGGAAACCTGGCGGTCTACCACTCGACTACAAAAGAGCCTGGATGAGAGAAAACGAAGACATATTCTCTAGATACAAAGCGTGAAAATTATGAAAAATTATGCGAGCAAATCCAGTTCGGCTGAGGCCTAGCTGGAGAGGTTACCATTAATCGGAACTGGCCGCTTTCGTTTTCAAGTTTTCATGCTTTTTTCGAAAAAAAGTGGGAAATCAATAAATCGACGCCAACCAATAATTTTTGGGCGAGAATGCACAATGCATATTGCCAACTAAACATAAATGTTTCAGAGTGCAATTGCTCACTATTAGTTTAGTATTTACTTTGCATGACTTTGTGCAGCTTCAGTCTAGTTTTAGTAATTTTAGTCGTTACCAAACGCATCACTATCATAAACCTCATCACATATGGTCACCTTCCAATGTTGCTAAATTTGCTCACGTGTGTTATTATCGAGTGTGGTAAACATATGGTGCAAAAGCGCCCTCCGACGGTCACAAGGACGTTCCAAATTTGTAAAAAAAATACATGCTGCTTTGCAACCTGTGCAAAGTTTGTCCACCATTTGAAGCGATTGAGATAGAAGAACGTGGGATTAAAAACAGGGAAAAATCTTACATACATAGTCGTCAGGAAAAATATAAGTGTGAATAAGTTAATCCAGCTCTGAAACAAATTTTTATCAATGATCAATCTCGGATTCATTGTCAGGCATCTATAGATCTATAAAATGCGCTTGTAATCTTTCAACATCAATCAACGAAAATCAAAAAAAGGAAGAATTGATCTTCTCAATATTTTTCCACCCTTGCTAATATTGTAATTCTCTCTTTTGCAATTTGAAGAAACCGTTAAAATTTGGAACATCGATTCGTGCTCTTTATGCGAAATCCAAAGCAAACCATACAAAAATAATAAGCTCTTGTTTCTGGCTGCTATGTGAAGAGGTAAGGAATTGGAAAAAAATTGTCATAAAATGCGACACAGAGCATAGAGCTAGTAAGCGATTACGCAAGCGTACGGAAATGAAGGGGGGGGGAGCAGAGGGGAGGAGCGTGGATAAGAGGCAACGATGAGAAGGCAAGGTGCCTAGACCTTGCCTTCTCATCGTTGAAGGCAAGGTCTAGGCACCTAGCTCCGGTACCGGACTGCAGATTTTAGGTCATCACGAATGGGTGGGTTTCCCGCAAAAGTATTCACAGGGTATAAAATGAAGGGTCGGGTGCACTAGCATCTCCATTCCCGTGCAGTTAGGCTCAACAGATATATGGCGCAATCAACGATGATTTGCAGCATTTCTGCCTGTGCTAAATGTATACTCAAACCATTCTGAGTTACAACGTATGATCCATGTGCCCACTGCCTGGGCAAAGAAAACTTTTATGTTGAGTATCCGCTGAACAAGAAATGATCGCATAAAAAATACATGAAAGGGTACCTCATTCCAGCAACAACGGTAGTAAAAACTATTGAACATCCTCGATCCTCGACTTTTCCACATAGCTATAATCGCACCAACACATAGCAATGAACAAAAAAGTACAGTCAGGCCCAACAGATATAGGAAAGAATCAACGATAATTTGCAGCAGCATCTCGACATGTGCTGAATATACACTCGTAAACCATTCTGAGCTACAGCCAGCGACAACGTCATCGGAAGAGGTACATGCCTATCAGTGTCTGAATCGCCTACGCTATAGTCAAAGAATAATTTTTGGATACATCATATAATGGCGAAAGCTATTTGAGTGCTTGTCGCAGTGTGAGTAGATGAGCAGGCATAGTTATACAAAAACTCCTCTATCAAGCAGTAGCATATTAGGAAATTTCCATGATCCCAGACAAAACGCGGGATTATTCGCTCAAAACCTATCATTCAAAGAACCCACAAAAATTCTACGCGCTCTATCTGTATAACTTTGTTATCGACAGCTAAGGCTCAAGTAGAAAAGAAGACGAAAAAGAATGAAATATAAATGGAGAGCTAAGAGACAGTCTAATTCGAAATACCAAGTATTCTCACAATAGGGCATACGTAATTAGAGGCTACTAGAGAAAGTCAGGGGAAAAATCAAGGTATTAGGGTGTTTCATAATTTTTTACCGTTTTTACATCCAAACATCCATGTCTTGAGAACTGAGGGAAATACAAAGGTAAGATAACATAATCGTACTTCTGCATATAAGGGTGTCCCAAAAAAATGTACTCACTGTTTGATTGTAAATAATTCTTTTTTAATGAAGTGTTTCGAGAAGCATTAGGAACCGTTTTGTACAGCGAGGTTGAACTTAGATTTATAGTATGGAGCGAATTATCAATCGCTCTTCATCACTGTAGGATTAGGGTAAAAATAAGACCTTTCAGCATATGGAACCATTGTGAAATATACTACTTAACAAATTTTTTTCCAAAAAATCTGAAAAATCGTGCGCTAGGGTTTTTGCGCATGCTGATTCCACTTAACAACTTTTTACGAGTGTCTTCAGCATTTTTGACGGTGTAATCACATTTCTGACAAATGCTGGGAATTGAGTTATTACGATTTACTAGGGATAACCTAGGAAAGAAGCAGCACAGTAAAATGGAAATCTCAAATTTGAAAACAGCGGCTCACATTACCGTAGTATAAAAGTTTTTGGCTTATTTAATTTTGTTTAGGAAGAATATGACCTCCAGTGGCCTAAAATCGTTGTCGAAATTCGTACCGTAATCCTACAGCAATGAAGAGCGGTAGATGATTCGTTTCCTACTGAATATCTAATTGTAAGTTCAACCTCGCTCTACAAAATGGTATCTAAAATTTTTTGAAACACTTTATTACAAGAGAATTATTTACAATCAAACAGTAGGTACATTTTTTTGGGACCTCCTATATTTATAAGCTATAGAATCATGTTGTGGGAAGTACTCAGGATATCTGGGGGCGGGCTTTGCCATTTAGAATTATTTTTCTTTATTTTTAGCCATGGAAAGATTTGGAAAATGTACAATCAAATGAACCATGTCTTAAGCATATGCTGGAACAAATGCGGAATTTTTTAGGTTTTTTGAGACCGAGGTACGATTCTTGACGATAAAGTTCGTTTTTAACTACTGTCCGATTTCAGCGTCAAATTTCACCTGGAATATGAGTTAGGCTTTTCATACATATCTTGTAGAGCTTGCCTTGCTCTGTTAAATGATCACTGATCACTGAAATCCCTTTAATCAAAGGAGAGGTACAAATAGATGATGGTTGTAGTAGAAATGGCGGTGAAAAATTATGAGACAACTCAATATAAACATACTGTGTTAGCAAAACAGAATGACAAATGAACACGTCTACATTGTCAAGTTGATGAACCACCGTCGCCTGGTTGATTCCAAGATGTCAGGTTGTTAAGGGGAGGAGCTTGCTGTTTGAGTCACCATAGGCGTGGCAAACATAAGGGGCCACGTTTGCACTTTGCTAAAGTTGATTAAAGCTTGTTCCATTAGGTTGATACATGATTAATGCATGTTAACATATTCTTGAGCGGCAAAGGTATAACAATCAATCGTTCCAACAATCTCATGAAATTTGATTATGGAAAGTTGAAAAGAAGAATTTAAATTTCAGAAATTCAAACATCTGATCTTTGTTTAGAAAAATCCTACAACCTCCAACTTACGAAAATTATTTGTAGCATCAGCTGTGCATGTACAACTTACTTATTTTTTCCATGGCTGGAAGTTGAGATATTAAAAACTGGCATGTTCCAGCAAAATCAATGTTGGATTTTCCGTCAATAAATTCTCACCCTTCTTCAAGCTCTGGTTGTCGAAGAATATGAAGCCTAGCATAAAATACCGAAAAGGCGACATTTTCAATGTTTTTAGTTTTAAACCAATTAGGATAAAAACATGGAAGGTGTACATATGAAAATCTTATGTGCACACTATATTCTTTATCATGTTGGGAGTTCGCAGGATATTTGTTAGCGGAATTATTATTTTTGAATTTTCATAAATTTCTAGTTTTTACCCATAAATTTTGCATGTCAAACTTTTTGCGATTACTAAAATAGTGTTTTGTAGAGCATGCTTTGTTCTATAGAACAGTGTATTGCTGTTGAACCAAAAGTTCTTTCGCACCATTTCCGAAAAGTCGTAACTTCTTTGTCTGACAACAATCTTGCATTACAAAAATATTATCAGGAAGAGCAAAGCGTGTTTTTTGTAAAGGCACTTGCCTGTTGTTTAGCTTTGGCCGCGGAGATAAAATTGAGAGAAGTTTAATTTTGGAATTTTGGGGCAAGTCCGTTAAAAAATTCAAAACTGCGCCATAATAACCAAAACAGCCAGTAACCTAAATTCGAACCCTTTTAACTAGCTAAGCAAACTTCGCGCTGATCGAGATTTTCAAAAAAGTTATGATTTTTGAAAAAAATACCATAAAATAAGTTCCTTAAAAAAATTGATTTTTTGACATTCTTTTTTAAATTATTACTTTTTTTGAAAACAGCTCGATCGGCACGAATTTTGCTCAGCTAGAAAAAGGGGATAAAAACCTAGGATGCTGCTTTTGTGGCACAGCTTTGGATTTTTTAACGGGCTTTGAAGTGATTTCCTTTTCCCAATTTCATCTCTGCAACCAAAGCTTAGTAAAGAGCATGCCAGTGCTTTTAGAGGGTACGCGCTTTGCTCTTCATAACGTTATTTTTGTCGAGCAAGATTGTTGCAAGAGAAAGAAGTTATAATTTCTTGAAAACGGTGCGAGCGAACGTCCGGTTCAATCTAATTTTAGGTTGGATCATAATTAATGCACGTTTTTCCTGCCTCTTCTTTCAAAGCTAGTATACTAAGTACAGCCGTGCCTTCTAAAAGCCCGTTTCTTCTAGTTTCTTCTAATATATCCTTTCATTTTCGGAAGTCTTATTTTAAACCAAAGTTTCATGCCTTCAAAGATAAAGGATAAAAACTTGAAATTTTTGCCTTTTATTCTACCTGCTCTAAATCCTTGATAAATGCTCAGATTTGTTTCAAAATATGTGTTATAATCGCGAAGATTACTGCTATGAAAAGCTTTCGTGATTAAGTTTTTGAAACATCCTGTCGAAAATCTTTGATTCAAACTTGTTTGATAGTTGAAACCATTTGAGCTTTATAGACTTAGGTGAAAAGCAATTACAAAACTTTCGCTTTGTGAAGGTGGGGTAAACCCAGTGTTACTAGTGGTAGGAAAACGACAGTATTCCGTCGTTTCTCAGTTGAAAAAAGTTGAAGGAATCTGAAAAACGCATTTTTTGCCTTCTCTAAAATGCAGGAAAAAATGGGTGCTTTCGTTCTTTTGGCAATATTTTTTCGCAAAAATTTTTCGTGATATCCAAGTTTCACGCTATTATTCAGACGAAAATTGGCTATACAATGAGCAAGTTTGCTCCATTCTAGCACTTTTGAGACTAAGTCATGCTCTTTTGAAGTAACGCTTTTCAGAAAAATTTCTTAGCAATTTTTTTGGTCAGAATATCTTTCCCATGATAAGTACAGTATACAAAAATATGCGTTGTATGCTAAAGAATTGCTTTTTATGACAGTATTTATGCGTTTAAATAATTGTTTTTGAAAAAGACTTGTCTGAAAGTCGAAATTTTGAAAACTTGCATCAATTTATAACCAACCTAATATAGGACGCATTTTTATATCTTCTCTGCCGTTTCAGGTTGAGGAACATGCATCAATTTTGCACCAAAATGTTGATCTTTATTTTTTTTCGCGATTTTCAAAGCTTGCACTCCAGTTGAGGGGCACAGTTGGCATAGTACGATAGTATGACATTGTCAATTTTGTACCATAGGCAGGTTTCGTTAGCTTCATCTCATCGTTAGCTAAGTTGCGACATTAGGCAAGTGTTATTGAAGAGATGTAGAAAGACCTTCTTTGGTCGGCTTAATCGCAGACACTAAGCCCTTAAAACAGTTTTGGTGTAAAATATATTAAAAAATTGTGTTACGTTCAATTGCATAAGTACCGTATGTGGTCTTTGGTTGATTGGAATAATCGAATAGAGAACATATGCACATTCCCGATAAGGTATGTTGATGTAATTTTGAGATATTAGATTGTGACATAAGTTTTGTTGCACTTTTAATCTTACGGCGATAAGTCAAGCACTTTATATTTCAAATACTCCTCCCGATTACCATTCGATAGGGCAAGGCAAGATGTATGAGACCATGAGACATGCATGCAAAAGAGTACAAGCCCTTAGAAGTATAACCGTAATTTTCGCTTTCTATTAGGTGGGTGCAAAAGTTCTGTCGTTTCATTTTCAAGAAATTGTAACTTCGCCAGATTTCAACGGATTTGCTTGCCTGTAATTTTATTGGAAAGAATAGGTCTTCCGCTTTCAAGCACTGTTTTGAGGAGCTTCTGTTTGGCACTGAGTGCAGAGATAAAAATGGAAAACTAAGGCCATGCAAACTTTGATCATTTTAAGTTAGATCACCAAAAATCGGGAACGCTGCAAAAAAATCTGAAG